CACATTCTCCAGCTGAGGCCTATCCAATGACTTACAAAGGTTTCAGCAGATCTTCCTCGCTTTTGTACTCCATGCTTCTATTTAAAAGCCAAGGATCCCATATGCTTTTTTAACAGCTGTATCAACCTGTCCTGCCATCTTCGAATAACTGTGTATGTGAACCCCCAGGTCTCTCTGCTCCCGTATCCCCTTGAAAACTACCATTTATTGTATATTGCTTCTCCTCATTCTTACACCCAACATGCATCAACTCACACTTCTCTGCATTACACTTCATCTGCCACGTGCCTTATCATTTCACCAGTCTGTCTATGTCCCTCCTGCAGTCTACTACCGTCCCCTCACTGTTTAACACGTTCCCAATTCTGGGTTATCTGCAAACTTTAAAAAGTTGCTCTCTATACTCTAGTTCAGGTCATTCGGGTATATCAAAAAGATCAGAGAGCTCACCAGAGCAAACTGTGAAATGTATTGATCTGGGAATCAGCATGAGGCCTATACAACAGGAACTTGGTGAGAGTGAGAACTTGTTGGTAAAATAATAAAATACCCACAGAATCTGTGGGTATAGTCTGGGGATAGACAGGCGTTTCTACAACCACAGACGTGAGTCTCACATGGTGAGTTGCCTCTCTGGTGCCAGAGTGGAGGATGTCATGGAACAGGTGCAAAACATTCTGCAGGGTAAGGGGCACAGCCAGAAGTCATGGTCCATGTTGGAACCAATGACATAGGAAAGAAAAGGGTAGAGGTCCTAATGGCAGAGTTTCAGGATCTTGGGAGGAGACGAAAGAGCAGGACCTCAAAGGTGGTAATCTCTGGATTACGCCAGTACCACATGCAAGTGTGTATAGGAACAACAAGATTGTTGTTTTATGAACACACGAGCACGATAAAGCAGGTTAACGTGTGGCTGGAGACAAGGTGCAGGTGGGAGGGCTTCAGAGTCCTGGGGCATTGGGACCAGTTCTGGGACACGTTGGACCTGTACATGGTGGATGGGCTGCACCTGAACAGGGCTGGGACCAATGTCCTCAGGGGAGGTTAGCTAAAGCTCCAGGGGATGGTTTAAAATAATTTGGCGGAGGGAGGGTTGGAGGGGATCAGGATGTCATATCGGAGAGCAGAAACAGGGAACATAGAGGACTGGGAGAGGTCGGTAATTTCGGAGTAAAGCGTAGTTCAGAAAGAGGAGGGATTAGACAGGGTAGAAATGCAAAACAAAGGCAGTTTTGCAGGCATATGTGCAAATTTTGTAAATTCCAGAAAGATGTAAAAGCACTAAAGTAATGATAATGGGGACTTCAATTATCCAAACATAGACTGGGAAGAAAACAGGGCAAAGGGCATGGAAGAGGAAGAATTCCTGAAAAGTGTACAGGAGAACTTTCTCGATCAGTCCAATAAGGAAGGAAGCAGTGCTGGATCTAGTCCTGGGGAATGAAGTGGGGCAAGTAGAGCGGTTTCAGTGGGAGCGCATCTAGACAACAGTGATAATAATAATAATAATAACCCTTGCATTTGATATAGCGCTTTTCACGTCTTCTAGCGTCTCTAAGCGCTTCACAGAATATACTGTAAAGCGAATTGACTATATTTTTGGGCAAAATGCAGCAGCCAATTGCACACAGCAATGTCCCACAAACAGTTGTGGATTGAAATTGACCAATATATTTTTTTTTGGTAGGGATTATTATTAGGCTCTGTGTGGAGTAAGCAAACTTGCCCAAGGTTTCGCCCTGTCTGGAATTGAAACCAGGTGTCTCGCTTGCAAGGCGAGTGCTTTAACCACTGAGCTACAGGACTCCACAGTATCATTAGGTTCAGAGTAATTTGGAACAACAACAACAACAACAAGATTCCATTTATAAAGCGCCTTTCACGTCGGGAGGACATCCCAAGACACTGTACAGTTGGGTCAGGACCCGAGCAGTGGGGAAATGGTCAGTGTGAGGGAAGGGAAGGGAGGGAGCGAGGAGGGGGAAGAGAGTCGAGAGGGGAGCTGAAGGCTGAAGGTCAAAGAGAAAGGTTTTGAGACCGGCCTTGAAGGAGGAAAGGGAGGAAGCGGCGAAGGCACTGGGGATAGAGTTCCAGAGCCTAGGGGCTGAGAGGCTGAAGGCCCGGCCACCGATGGTAGGGCGGTTGGGGCGGGGACGTGGAGCAGACCGGAGCCAGAGGAACGGAGGGTACGGGCAGGTAGGTAGGGGGATAGTAGGTCGGAGAGGTAGGAGGGAGCGAGGCCGTGAATGGCCTTGGAGGTGAGGATGAGGATCTTGAAATCGATCCTCTGGGGGACGGGGCGCCAGTGGAGGCGAGCGAGGGTGAGAGTGATGTGGTCCCGAAGCCTGGTGCAGGAATAAGAGGGGCAAAGAGAGTATATGAGAAAAGATTATCAGGTAACCTAAAAGGGAACCCTAAAGTCTTCTATAAACATGTAAAGAGTAAAAGGATGGTCAAAGCAGGAGACGATTTAGGGACCAAGAAGGAAAACTACTTGTGGAGGCAGAGGGCACGGCTGAGGCACTGAAAGAGTACTTTGCATCTGTCTTCACAAAAGAAGATGGTGCCAATGTCACAGTAAAGGAGGAGGAGGTAGAGAAATTGGGTAGGAATAGAATAGATGGAGAGGAGGTACTTAAAAGTTTAGCGGCAATCAAAGTGGAAAAGTCACCCGGTCTGGATGGGAGCATCCTAGGTTGCTGAGGGAAGTTAGGGCGGAAATAAAGGAGGCTCTGGCCACTATCTTTCAATCCTCCTTGGATATGGGAGAAGCGCCTGAGGACTGGAGGGTCGCTAATGTTACATTCCCGTTCAAAAAAGGGGAGAGGGATAATCCTGTAATGATGTGGAAATTTCTAGAGAACATAATCCAAGACAAAACTAATTTTCACTTATTAATTAACTCGTGTTTTCCTATCAGTCAACATAGATTTGTTAAAGGCAAATTGTGTCTGACAAACCTAATTGAGTTATTTGATGATACAACGGAGAGGACTGATGAAGGCAGTGCAGTCGATGTCGTGTATGTGGACTTTCAGAAGGTGTTTGATAAGGTTCGGCATAATAGACGAGTTAGCAATTGAACCCAATGGGATAAAAGGGACAGTGGCAGCATGGATACAAAATTGTCTGGGAGACATAAAGCAGAGGGTAGGGGTGAATGGTTGTTTTTCAGACTGGAGGGAAGTGTGCAGTGGTGTTCCCCAGGGATCAGTATTGGGACCACTGCTGTGTGAGTGGTTCTGTAGCTTGTGGAGGGGGCTTTAGTGTGTTTCTCACCCTGACCTGGGAGTGTGGACGCACAGTGTAGAGGAACTTTACTCTGTCTCTAACCCTGACCTGGGAGTGTGGATGGACCAGTGTAGAGGGAGGCTGCTTACCTGGCAGAGTTGAGAGGCCTCGTGGATGGGGATGATGCTGTGGTCTCGGTGTTCCCGGGAGACGCCGCACACCACGCAGATTGGCTTGTGGTCCTCGGTGCAGTAAAGCTTGAGGGTTTCGTGGTGATTGGGGCACATGGTACCCAGGGGCAGCTCGTCCACCCGCAGCCTGCGTACCCGCTCTACGATGTTGGCCAGAAGCTGGTTACTCTTCACCTGGAACCTGGACATGGTCTTCAGGCACTGGGGACAGCGCAGCGAGGGCCCCGAGTCCCTGGCCTGGCTTCCGGCCGCCGTTTCTGGCTCGGCCCCCAGCCCCAGGCCTGGCTCACACTCCCCCAGGCGTGGCTCACACTCCCCCAAGCCTGGCTCACACTCCCCCAAGCCTGGCTCATACTCCCCCAGACCTGGCTCACACTCCCCCAGGTCTGGCTCACACTCCCCTAGGTCTAGCTCACACTCCCCCAGGTCTGGCTCACACTCCCCCAGGTCTGGCTCACACTCCCCCAGGTCTAGCTCACACTCTCCCAGGCCTGGCTCACACTCCCCCAGGTCTGGCTCACACTCCCCTAGGTCTAGCTCACACTCCCCCAGGTCTGGCTCACACTCCCCCAGGCCTGGCTCACACTCCCCCAGGCCTGGCTCACACTCCCCCAGGCCTGGCTCACACTCCCCCAGGCCTGGCTCACACTCCCCCAGGCCTGGCTCACACTCCCCCAGGCCTGGCTCACACTCCCCCAGGCCTGGCTCACACTCCCCCAGGCAGGCCCGGCACAGGTTGTGCTCACATGGCAGTCGCACAGGGTCCTGGTAGAGGCCTAGGCAGACAGGGCAGGTCACCTCACTGATCAGCCCCTCAGCTGGGATCCACGAGGACATCGCAAGGGAGAGAGGCCTGGTCCAGAGAGACAACATTAATGAAAATATTAATACAGTAAAACTAACATAGGTTGTATCAGTTGAGACCGTAACATTTAATATGAGATTGCTCAAAGCGTACAAAGCGCCACCTGAAGATGGGAAAGGATAGAGGATGAGTGCTCCAGAGTTTCGGGGTGTAGTAGTTGATCGCACGGCCACCATTAGTGGAACAGAGGGCACGAGGGACGTTCAGAAGGATGGAGCCAGTCGAGCGGAGGCAGATGTCGGAGGTAGAGAGCATGAAAGGATTTGCAAACGAGTGTGAGGATCTTGAAATACATCCATTTGGCAATAGAGAGCCAGTGGGCCTGGACAGAACTGTAGTGATGGGGGTTCGGAGTTTAGTGCAGGTGAGTATTCGGGCAGCGGAGTTCTCGATTAGCTGGATCCTGTGCCTGTTGGAGCTGGGGAGGGCATTTGGGAGGTGATGAACGCATGGATGAGAGCATAAATCATTTCACATGTGACTTGTGTGAAGTAACGTATAAGTCAGATTTTACATGATTAGCACGTTAAAAATACATAGGTTTGGTACATACATAGGTTTAGAGTACAAGAGTAGGGAAGTCTCGCTGCAACTGTATAGGGCTTTGGTGAGACCGCACCTGGAATATTGTGTGCAGTTTTGGTCTCCTTCTTTAAAAAAGGACATACTTGCCCTCGAGGGGGTGCAGCGTAGATTCACTCGGTTAGTTCCTGGGATGGGGGGACTGACCTGTGAGGAGAGGCTGAATAAACTGGGGCTGTGTTCTCCAGAGTACAGAAGAATTAGGGGACATCTTATTGAAACATATAAGATTCTTAAAGGGCTGATAAAGTAGACACTGAGGGTCTGTTTCCCCTGGTATGAGAATCCATAACCAGGGGTCACAGTCTTAAAATTAAGGGTCAGCCTTTTAGAACAGAGTTGAGGAAACATTTCTTCACTCAGAGGGTAGTGAACTTATGGAATTCACTCCCCCAGAAGGCTGTAGATGCTCAGTCCTTGAACATCTTCAAGGCTGAGACTGATAGATTTTTTAAAAACCAGAGGGATTAGGGGATATGGGGATACGGCAGGTAATTAGAGTTAGGCCTGAAGATCAGCCATGAGCTTATCGGATGGCGGGGAAGGCTCGAGGGGCCGAATGGCCTTCTCCTGCTCCTAATTCTTATGTTCTTATAAGGCTGGTGACATTAAGGCAATGTTTCTGTATCATGTTTAATTGGGAGCGGTTTGCGCTTTAACCGAGCCTTTAAGATTGCCTACACATCCCTCACATCAGCTGCAACTCTTTTTTCATCGCTGAATGACTCATTAGCTGACACCTGGTGTTTCAGAGGCTGTGAAACGTTTAACCCGCTCCGAGCTCTTCTCAAGGTCAATGAGATAACAATAATTCTAAAAATCCTTGTACTTGACATATTTGTGTGTGGAGTCCTGTAGCTCAGTGTTTGCAGCTCTCGCCTCACATTATCGGGTAACATAAAAGGGAACCCTAAGGAAATTTATAAGCACGTAAAGAATAAAATGTTAGTCAGCGGTAGGGTGGGACCGATTAGGGACCAATCTTCTTGTGGCGGCTGATGCACTGAATGAGTACTTTGCAGTGGTCTTCCAAAAAAGAAGAGGATACAGCCAAGAAGAGGTGTCAGGGTGTTTACGTAAGGGGGTGCGTCAGGGGATGTGTGTGGGTGAGAAGACGTTTGCTCAGTGGAATTTTTGAGAACAGTTGTATAGAATCATAGAATATTACAGCACAGAAGGAGGCCATTTGGCCCATCGTGCCTGTGCCGGCTCTTTGGAAGAGCTGCCCAATCAGTCCCACTCCCTCGCTCTTTCCCCAAACCCTTGCAAATTTTTCCTTTTCATATAGCTGTCTAATTCCACGCGGAAAGTTGTCATTGAATCTGTTTCCACCACCTTTCAAGCATTGCGTTCCAGACCGTAACAACTCTCGGTGTTAAAAAAAAATTCTCCTAACTTCCCCTCTGTTTCTTTTGCCAATTATCTTAAATCAATGTGCCCTGGTTACTCATCCACCTGCCAGGGGAAACAGTTTATCCCTATCTACTCTATCAAAACCCCTCATAATTTTGAACACCTCTATTAAATCTCACCTTAACCTCTCAGCCCTAAGGAGAATAATCCCTGGGACTCTCGTCTCTCCACATAACGGAAGTGCCTCGTTCCCAGTACCAACAACAAAATTACATTTCTCGAGCGCCATTCGTGTCAGGAGGCTGTCCGAAGGCGCTGGATAGTCAGAGTTTTGGACCCGAGCTGGGGGGTCAGAAACAGGAGGGTGGAGGGCAGGCGGGAAGCAAGGTGAAGAGGAGGGTCTTGAGATGGGTCTTGAAGGAGGCACCATAACCTCCTCACTTTTGTATTATATGCCCCGCTTTACAAGGCCGAGTATCCCATGTGCTTTGTTTAGCAGCTTTATTGTCCTGTCCTGCCACCTTCCAGGATTTGTTCATATGAACCCCCAGGTCTCTCTGTTCCTTTAACCCCGTTTAAGATTCTACCATCAGCTTATATCGCCTCTCCTCATACTTCCTCCCAAAATGCTTCATTTCGCATTTTCAGAATTAAATTTAAACCACCGTGTTGCTGCCCATTTCACCAGTCCGCCTGTGGCCTTGGATTGCAGTCTGTTATTATCCTCCTCGCCGTTTACTTCTTTTCTCGCTTTGTGTGATCTGCAAACTTGGAAATTGTACTCCCTATACCCGAGTTCAGGTCATTTATAGAGGATAAAAAGACATGTGGTTTGTAAAGTTTTATTAATTCAACGGGCAGTGGTAAGAGCATAGAGTTTATTGCCTAAGACGAAACATACGATTAATAATCTGTATTCAAATTATACTACATATACCAACACAATAACAACACAACAAATCTACGTGAGCAAAACATTTACCACGCAGCACGCACTGAGGGGTTGCTCAGTACTCCAGACAAATACACAGCAGAGATCAGCCCCTGGAAGTCCCTCAGGGACAACTGACTTTCGTGATACCAACAATAAACAGGGACTGGCATCCGGTAAACCCTCGGACCCAACCAGTCGTACACAACAGCAGTAGTACTGATGATACAGGGACAACAACACGTATCCAGGCACTGTTTCGTACTCCAGACTAAACAGTAGTCCGGGATCGCACCTCGACATACACTGGAGACACATCAGAGATCAGCCCCTGGAAATCCCTTCGGGGACAACTGATTCTGTAACATAAAACACAGAGAGTGACTCCTGGAAACCCAACAGAAACAATCAGCTCTTCGCCCAACACCTCACTCGTGCTGTCTCACCTGATTTCCGTGTCTCAAACCTGTGGACCAACCACTACTAAACATATTACCCACTACTCCTCCTCTTTCAACTTTTAATGGTCACTTTCTTACTGGGTGAATTCCCTCACCCGCCTGTACGTATACATAGGTACAGTAGAATCGATATCGATTCCACTGGGAAGAGCACTGACCCTCTACACAACTCCAACTATTCCAAAGCTACGTCTTTCTTTTCATGCGCTTCTCACTCCACCTCCCCTTGTCGCAGAGATAGCCCTCACCTTTCTGGCAACTTCTGGGCAGTCTTTCACAGCCTGCTTGCTTCTCAGCCTCGAGATGGGCAGGTGTCCGAGGCTGCAGACTTTTCTTTCCGTGGTCCAGTGTTCTTGCAGCTGCGCTCAAGGGTCCGATTGCTGATCACCTCAGAGGAGTGAACATCTTCCCAGGAAAATATGAACTGTAATCAGAAGCCAAACTCAACCCGTCCAGCAAAGCTACTTTTAATCATTTGACTATCAAACCTTTTGGAAAGTTCGGTGCTGTTTGCCAATGTATCCCGAGGTGATATCAATATATTTGAACAGGTCCCAATACCAATCCCTGGGGGACACTACTGTATACTTTCCTCCAGTCAGAGAAACAATCGTTCACCACTACTGTCTGCTTTCTGTCCCCCAGCCAACGCCGTTCACAGTCCCAGAGCCAATGAAATGTATGATCGTGCTTGTGACTTTCCTGCAGGGATCGCGTTGACCATTGTGGTCCTGGCTCAGGCGATGTGCGGACTCTACAAATGCATCCCCCGCTACCTGGTCATTTTAGATAAAGTTCCCCGACGATCCCCCGGATAAAATCAGTCATTTACGGCTGCTTGTGGGACGTCGCATATTTGCTGATATGTGACAGGGGCAGATCTAACTGAGCTGACGGCTGCCGTCGTATCCGTTGGCTCAGTCTCAGTGGCCTCGCGCCCTCGCACTTCCTGTTGTGGGGGTTGAAGAGCGGGAAGACGGGGTCGGTGAAGCGGATGTGGCGGAAGGTGTGGACGTGGGCCAGGTTGTCGACGCTGTAGAAGGACACTTGCCCCAACTCATAGTCCAGGTACAGACGGATGGCCCTGAGGCTGCGCTCCAGGGGGGGAAGAACTATGGGCTCTGGGGTCTGCAGGCTGACCCGAGTCCCATCCACCACCTCAATCACCCAGTAGCCGTCCTGCGGGGTCAGGGCCCGAGTCAGGGTGCGGTTGGCAGACTCAGCTGCCACACCAACAATACAGGAGCGGTTACTGCCCAGTTCCACCTCCCAGAAGTGCTTCCCTGACACGAAGCTGGCGCTGGCCAGCACGCAGAGCCAGTGGCTGAAGCGAGACAGGGTGATGGGAACCTCCAGCCGCCGGTCACCGTCTACCACACTGATCAGATCGTCTGAGAGCACCAGCCGTGGGTGGGCCGTCTTCGGATCCAGTTTCAGGTACTCAGGAGCTGTGGCAGACAGAAAGAGGGTCAGGGTGTGAGGCCGAGCACCAGGCAAAGTGTCAAGACAGGTAGAGCACCAGTCACGCGCGGCACATCCCGCGTCAGTCACAAACACGCTGACCTGGTACAAAGGCACCGATCCGATCCCAGATGTCCACAAACCGGAAAGGGGTGAGGATGGAGTCGGTGCAGAGCTCGGTGGAAGCCGAGGTTGGGACAATGTGTTGAAGCTGACACCTGGAACACAAAATGCCAACGTGACCACAATATAATAATAATAATAATAATCCTTTGCATTTGATATAGCGCTTTTCACGTCGGGAGGACGTCCCAAAGCGCTTCACAGAACACACTGTAAAGTGAATTGACTGTATATTTGTGGGCGAACGCGGCAGCCAATTGCGCACAGCAATGTCCCACAAACAGTCGTGGATTGAAAATGACCAATTTATTATTGATTTTTTTGGAGGGATTATTATTAGGCTCTGTGTGGAGTAAGGAAACTCGCCCGAGGTTTGGCCCTCTGCCTGGAATTGAACTCAGGTCTCTCAGTTGCAAAGTGAGTGCTCTAACCACTGAGCTACAGGACTCCAATACAGTGTGAGATGGACAAAAACTGACTGACAACTTCACCAAGAGATCAGAGACTCACTGACCTGCAGCAGCTGCTTTATGTCCTACAGATAAGAAAATATAGATTTCAGTTGACAAAGAACACATCTTAACAGAGAATATAACCCAAAATGGGCTTGTGAGGGGGTCGGGGCAGCAGGAGATATTGAGACGGGAGTGGGGTGGGCGGGCGGGGGGGGGGGCTGGAGCCAAAGAGGGGGAGGAGTGGAGGAGGGGAGGGGTGGAGGAGGAGAGGGATGGTGGAGGGGAGTGTTGGAGGCACGTAGGGAATGGGTGGAGGAGGGGAGGGAAGGAGGAGGGCAGGGGTGGACAGGGGGAGGAAGGGTGGAGGGGGAAGGGAGAGGAGGAAAGCGGGAGGGGTGAGGGGGGAAGGAAAAGTGGAGGACGAGGGGATGGGTGGTGGAGGAGGAGAGGGAGGAGGAGGTGAAGAGTTCTGGAGGATGGAGGCAGAGGAGGAGAGGAGTGGGGGTAGGGGACAAGAGGGGGAGGGGTTGAGTGGAGGGGAAGGGAGGAGGGATAGAGTGGGGGGGATGGGGGAAGAGGGAATGAGGGGGAGGATGCGGAGCTGGAAGAGGGATGAGGTGGAGGGAAGTGGGTGGAGAGAGGATAGGGAAGGGGATGTGGAGGGTTAAATTTGAAGGACGGCAGCAGAGGGGAGGGGTGGAGTAGGGGAGGAGAGGAGGGGAGGGTTTCTGCAGGAGTGGAGGTGGAGGCGGAGAGGAGAGGGGTGGAGGAGGGGTGAATGTGGAGGATGGAAGAAGGGGGGGTGGGGAGAGGAGGGGAAGGGGAGGAGGGGGGGAGTGTGGAGGTGAAGGAGGAAAGGAAAGGAGAGGGGAGAAGGGAGAGAAGGGGTGGAGGAGGCGAGGGATTCCGGATGGGTGGAGGATGGGAAGAGGAGGAGTGGAAGTGGAGGTGGAAGAGGGGAGGAGAGGGGGGCGAGGGAGAGGGTAGAGGAGATGAGGAGGAGGGAAGAGAGTTGGATGGGGAGGGGGGGAGTTGTTGGATGTGGAGAAGGGGAGAGGAGGGGAGGACGAGGGAGGAGTGGAGGAGGGGGTACCGTAGAGAAGAGGACAATGAGGTGGAGGGTAAGATAGGAGGGGAGGAGGTGGAGGGGAGAGGGGTGGACAGAATTTGTAGGAAGAGAAGAAGGAGGATGAGGAGGAGGAGGAGGGGATGGGGAGGAGAAGGAGGGGAGTGGGGAGGAGGAGGAGGAGAGGAAGGGGAGAGGAGAGAAAGGGGGGAGGAGAGGAGGGGAGGGGGAGGGGAAGATGGGGAGGGGAAGACGAGGAGGAGGGGATGTGGAAGGAAGAGGAGAGGAGGGGAAGGAGAGGAGGGAGTGAGGGAGGAGGAGGGGAGAGGAGAAGGGGGAGAGGAAGCGGGGAGGAGAGGAGTGGAAGGGGAGGGGAAGACGGGGAGGGGAAGACTGGGAGGAGGATGGGATGTGGAAGAGGAGGGGAGGGAGGAGGGAGGGAGGAGAGGAGGGGAGGGAGGAGGATTGGAAAGTCACTTTGTGGCATTGAGCAGTGGAGGAGGATGGTTTCCAGAGAGCAAGTCGAGAACCTCACAGAGGAGCTCAATTGTTGTGTTTGCCTCGATTTTTTCAAGGATCCAGTTCTCCTGGAGTGCGGCCACAATTTCTGCCGCTCCTGCATCACAGGGTTTTGGGAGAAGCAGGTGCCAAAAACCTGTCCGGAGTGTCGATGGGTGTCTCCAACGAATCGACTGAGAGCAAATCGAATGCTGGCAAAATTGGCTGAAAAAGCTCAAAATCTGAGCACGACTTTGAAATGGGAGAAAGGAAATATTACTGTGATGAACATCAAGAAGAACTCAAGCTGTTTTGTGAAACTGACAAGAAACTTATCTGTGTGATGTGTCACTTTGAGGGACAGAGCCATAAATCGCACAACGTCATGCCGATAGAAAAAGCTACGAATATCTACAAGGTAAATGCAGCAGAATTTGTAACATGGCTGATGTTAATAATATAATAATCCTTGCATTTGATATACATATATATATTTGAGATGTCTCAAAGTGCTTCATAGAATGTACTGTGAATTGAATGTAGATTTTATGGGTGAAACGTGGCAGCCACAGCGTCCCAAACCATTTTTGACCAAATTATTTTTTTGCAAGGTTTATTACCCCTGGAAAAGGACTCCGTCAATCGACTAGCAATCAGGTTACTACTTACTGGAAGGCAAACACAGGCAAGTGGAGTAAGGAAACTTGCCCAATGTTTTGCCTGCTGGGAATCAGGCCTAAGTCCTCTCACTTGCGCTGATCTACAGGACTCCACAATGACTCTTTGCAGAACATTTGCGAAGACTTGCTGTAACTAAAGAGGACTCTGATTCTGTTGACTTACATTTTTTTTTATTTCAGGGCAAACTGGAATCCGCTTTCCATTCAGTTACTAAGAGAAAGGTCACTGTGCTCCATTCTGAATTTGAGCAGAAAGCGAAGATTTCAGCACTCAAGGCAAGTTTCTGTTGATGTGCGTCTGGGTTCTGCTGTGTTTCTTCTTGAACCTGTGACCTATGAAATGTCTGATGCTTCACTTTGCAGGAGCAGGCGAGCAGTCTGCACAGCCACATCACGGCTGAGTTTGCTAAAATGCACCAGATTCTCAATGACCGCCAGCAGTGTTTAATCCAAGAGCTCAGAGCACGAGAGGAGGAGATTTTACACAGAATGGAGAATAATCTGCAAGTGATTCGGATGAGTTTAGATTCCGTTGAACAAAAACTCTCAGATTTACAGAAGCTGATGGGAAACGACGTGCTTGCCTTTCTGCAGGTAAAGGGATTTAAACTACAATTTTTTTTGTAGTTTTACTCAGTATAAATTTAAATTAAAGCTTTGGGACGTCTCTAAGACGTGATAAGGGGCTGTGTCGAATGCAAGGATTATTATAATTTATTTCAGTAAAAGTTATAGGCTGAAGGAGAAATTGGAAGTCTGACTTAAATAGATGTTGATGGTTTAATGTTCTTTTCACATATGTACACAGTGTCTATAAGTTAGTGAGTGTCTATCTGTAAGCAGGTCTCATGCTTTGGCACAAGAAGTTGCCACAGACTCTTTAATATGCACTGAATTAAATATGGGACCCTAATTAATGTGAACCGATTGATACTCTGACTGACACTCCAGCGCTCCTGTAGTACTGTGCTCAACATTACAATGTGCTCAAAGCATAACATTCCTGTAATAATTGCACTAAACTGTGCCATAGATTTCCATTCTCTATGTGTGGTTTTACAAACTCTAATCTTAGTTTGAGCTCAAATCTCTGCTTTTTTTTTCTCATCAGGAGGAAGTGTCTCGGAAGGAAAGGTATGATATGATCATCACTTTATCCTTGGGGCTGTAGGGGGAAGAGGGGAGGTAAGCGAGGTCCTTTTGCAGATGAGATACTGTGGATGACAGACCAGTCAGCCTGACTTGGAGAAGCAAATTGCTCACGAGGACAGGGGATCTTCCCAGCTGTTGGCTTTTGATGATGCAAACCCAAACCTTAATAGGGAGGGTGGTCCTAGCTGGACAAGTGAGCAACGAGCTTGTCAGATAGAGCTCTCAGTGGCTAATTTTGCAGTTTTAGATGGTTAATCTCCAGCTGGTGGCCCTTGATGAACACTCCTTGGTTCCAAAGCCTTTTCTGGCCAATCGCTAGCTTGTAGATTCTGGAAGGATGCAGGCAGCGAGCATCCTTCCAGGAAGAGAGAGTGCACAAGATTCCACGCTCGGGGAAATGTTGGCGGCAAACGTAGAACCGTCTGGTTACAAGAACGTGTAACTGTCTGGTTTGCATATATTTAAGAACGGTGAGGAGTTGCTGCAACTGTTGGATAATGTGGCTGACAGAACAACAAATTCTTTGCAACATATAATAATTTTACTGTTATAGTGCCTATAACGTTGGAAACCGTCTCAGGCATTTCACAAAATATACGTCAAAGCTCGTACTTTTTAGGCGAAGCACAGCAGCCAACTTGTGCACAGTAATATAGCCCAATCAGCAAGACTGGGGGAAACTCCTTTCTCTTATCCCATACTTCTATAGGATAACCGGCTTCCACCAGCCCCAGACAGATGGGACTTCAGTTTATATATGATCATAGAATTATACAGCATAGAAAGAGGCCATTCGGCCCATCGTGTCAGCTCCTAAAAGAGCAATCCAACTCAATCCCACTGGCCCGCTTTCTCTCCATAGCCCTGCAATCCTGTCCTCCCCAAATACCCAGCTACTTCTCTCTTAAAAGTGGTTATTGAATCGGCTTCCACTACGCTTTCAGGTAATGCATTCCAGAGCCCAACAACTCACCGGATGAAACATCTTTTCCTAACCTCCCCCCTGTTTCTTTTAACAATTATCTTAAATCGTTATCCTCGGGTTACTGACCCACACGCCAGTGGAAATGGTTTTTCCCAGTTCAACCTATCAAATCCTCATGATCTTGAAAACCTCTATTAAACCCCCTCTTAATCTTCTCTGCTTTAGGGAGAATAATCCTAGTTTTGCTAACCTCTCCTCATATCTAAGATCCATCATTCCTGGTAAACATCCTTTGCACTCTCTCCAATGCTCGAACATCTTTCCTAAAGCACAGTGCCCAGAACTGAACGCAGTACTCCAACTGAGGCCTAACCAGCATTTTATAAATATTCAACATAACCTCCTGACTTTTGTATTCTATGCCCCTATTTATAAAACCTAATATCCCGAATGCTTTTTTTAACAGCTTTATCTGCCTGTCCTGCCACCTTCAGAGATTTGTTTATGTGGACTACAAGGTCTCTCTGTTCATTTGCCCCCTTTAAGATTGTACCATCAGCTTAGTATCGGCTGCAAATTTGGAAATTGTGCTCCTTCTATCCAGATCTTTACTTTAGATCAGAAAGAGCAGTGGTCCCAATACCGGCCCCTGAGGGACACCACTCCACACCTCCCTCCAGTCGGAAAAGCAATCGTTTACGAGCACTCTCTGCTTTCTCTCCCAGCCCCAGCTCTGGATCCATGTTGCCACAGTCCCTCTAATACCGTGGGCTTCTATTTTGTTTATAAGTCTCTTATGTGGCACTTTGTCAAATGCCTTTTGAAAATCCAGATAAACTACGTCTACCGCACTACCTTCACCCGCCCTCTCAGTCACTTCATCCAAAAATTCTGTTAGGTTTGTCAGACGCGATCTGCTTTTAACAAATCCATGTTGACTGTCCTTTATTAAACCATATTTTTCTAAGTGAGAATTTATATCGTCTCGGATTATAGTCTCCGGAAGTTTCCCCACTACTGATGTTAGGCTGATTGGCCGGCAGTTCTCAGGTTTATCCTTCTGCCCCTTTCTGTACAGGGGAGTAACATTTGCAACCTTCCAGTCCTCTGGCACCACTCCAGTGTCCAAAAAGGATTGAAAGATTGTGACCAGAGTCTCCGCTGTTTCCACCCTTGCTTCCCTCAGTAACCTGGGATGGATCGCGTCCGGACCAGGTGGCTTTACAGATTGAATTTGTTGTTGTTGTTGTTAAGTCGCTATAATAATGAAAATTTGTATATTTCAGAGTCAGCGAAGAGGATGGTCCACTAATGTTAGTTGATGCTGAGCTGCCTGTGGGGATATTTAAAGGGCCTATACAGTACATAGCCTGGAGAGTAATGATAGACAGCATCAGCCCAGGTAAACATCTTGTGTTCTGATCCTCATAAAATGGTTAGTGTTGAGTGATGCTGCACAGCAAGTATCCTTGAACTGTGGAGAATATTTCAGATTTTAATGACCGGTCGGCTTGGGGGAGTGTGGGGAGTGGCAGCGATAATAATGAGGTCTCATCAGACTTGATCTAGTTCTAAGGTGATGAGTTTGCCATCAATTTTCTACTTTATTAATCAACAATAATGGCAAAATCTCAATCAAACACAGTGGGGTTGTCACCTATCACTGTATTCTTAAGATTAAGATTTTAAGTTTAATCACTGGTGGTGCAGGGGGTTGTCTGGGGGAGTAGAGGGTGTTGTACTTCAGCAATCTTCTAACAAGATTTGCTGACCCCATATCAACTTGCCGACTCCCTCCACTGTTCCACGTCACCTCCCAATGTGAAGGGTGCTATACAAATGTAATTTTGTATTTTAAATAGTTCATCTTCGTTTGTTTTTCAGGCATCTCGCCCTTTATTTAGACTTGTTTGGTTCACTATGTTCACATGGAAGTCTATGTGGAAGCACCTGGTGCACATAAAGCCCAGACCAATCAAGTTGCGCGGATATACTTCATGCCTACACTCACCTGATAGTATTCAAACTGAATAATGTGTCATCTTGGTGCAATCACATCTTTTGTTCCAGTTTTCTTTTTATCAGAGTCCAATTCATATGTTCATTGTTTTACAATGACACGTTACAAAACTGTTGATGTCCAATGCCTTTGGACAGTTAACATTTCATTTGAACTCTTTCCTTGTATCTGTAAATTGCAAACATTCATTTTGTGGCTTGTATTTAAGAGCATATTCACCTGCAAATCTTGTGGGTTGGGAGGAGACTCCCAACAGGTACTGCCATTGGCTCCTGATGATTTGTTTGGTTTGGCTGTAACTTCAATAGAATTCACCAAATATGTCTGTGTTGTATCTTTCAGCTCCAGCCCCTCTGACTCTGGATCCAAACACAGCCCATCCTGAGCTCGTCCTGTCTCCGAACGTGACCAGTGTGAGACACAGAGACAAACGGCAGAAGCTCCCCAACACCCCGGAGAGGTTTGATCGCTGGGCCTGTGTCCTGGGATCTGAAGGATTCACATCAGGGAGATACTATTGGGAAGTTCAGGTGGGGAACAAGGCTGTGTGGGATGTGGGAGTGGCCAGAGAGTCTGTCAAGAGGAAAGGGAGAATCAGACCATCTCCACAAACTGGGTACTGGAAAGTGGGCCTGAGAAAAGGGAACATTCACTGGGGTTGGCCCTCACTCCCAACCAGCTTGTCCCTGGAAGTGAAACCACAGAAGATCGGAGTTTACCTGGACTATGAGGGTGGACAGGTGTCATTCTACAATGCGGATAACATGTCTCATCTCCATACTTTCAATGTCAACTTCACTGAGAAATTGTATCCCTTCTTCAGTCCTGGCTTGAACAACGATGGGGTAAACCGGAAGCCACTGAGAATCTGTGCTGTTAATGATTGCTAAACTGTTAAAGACGTGATGTTTATTTCACCCCTTCCTTCACACTTCCAGAAATAAAAATGTCAGACTTTGTCACCCTCTCAATTCTGAGTCAGAATGTTATGTTGTGGGTCCAAGATCCATGTTGAACTTGTAACTCACAGACTGTGTAACCTGCAATTTTTTTTTAAAAAGGTAAAAATGTGTTGAATAGTTTACTGTATTTTTCCTAAATAAATATATTGAATAGACATGTGTCAGAATAGTTGTTTTTGTACATTATCATTCTTGAGCTCTAGGCTATGACCTGGTTTACTTATACATGTCACAGCCTCAGATGGGAAAGTTAGTCCAAACTCAACAAGTAGCCGGACAATGCTCTTAAGGGTAAGCTGTGTAGTTTTGGCTAATTTATTTCCAGTAGTTATCCCAACACCAACTCTTAGCTCCTGAAGCCTTAACTTTTGCCAACTGTTGACTAAATCTCTCCAGAACTGAATAAGCAAGGTGCAAGTGTGACTTCCACCCCCCCACACAGGGACTATCCATATTTTGGTGGCAGACATACATGGTTTGGAAGCACAGTGAGGGGCTTCCATAAATGACAGGTACGCAGGTGACCAAAAACTACATCGCTCCTACAATGTGAAAGGTTGAGGTGGGAGGACAAGCGGTGGAGGAGGAGTATCGAATGCTGCCGATAGGTCGAGGAGGATGAGGAGGCAGAGGGAGTCCTGGTCACAGATGATCAGGATGTCATTGGTGACCTTGAGCAGGGCAGTTTCTGTGCTATGGGCAGCACGGAAACCCGACTGAAGGGGTTCGAATAATGAATGGGTGGAGAGGAAAGCGCGCAGCTGGGAGGCGACAATTCGTTCCAGGACCTTGGACAGGAAGGGGAGGTTGTGAGGCGGAGTGACCGTAGGATGGAGTTCCAGAGTATGGGGAAGAGAGGCTGAAAGCCTGGCCACAAATGGTAGGGCGGGTCGGGTGGGAGACATGGAGCAGGCCGGAGCCCGATGAACGGAGGGAGCGGGCAGGTTGGTCGGGAGTCAGCGGGTCAGAGAGGTAGGAAGAGGCAAGGCCATGGATGGCCTTAATAATAATAATAATAATAATCCTTGCATTTAATATAGCGCTTTTCACGTCGGGAGGACATCCCAAAGCGCTTCGCAGAATACACTGTAAAGTGAATTGACTATATTTGTGGGTGAACGCGGCAGCCAATTGCGCACAACAATGTCCCACAAACAGTCGTAGATTGAAAATGACCAATTTATTATTGTTCTTGGTTTTGGAGGGAATATTATTATTAAAGGTGAGGATGAGGATCTTGAACTCGATCCTCTGGGGGATGGGGAGCCAGTGGATTGTCAAATGGCGTTTAATGAAGTGCCACATAAGAGACTTGTTAGAAAAATAGAAACCCAAGGTATTAAAGGGACAGTGGTAGCATGGATACAGAATTGCTTGGGAGACAGGACGTAGTGAGTGGTGGTGAACAGTTGTTTTTCTGACTGGAGGGAAGTGTGCAGTGGTGTTCCCCAGGGGTCAGTATTGGGACCACTGCTGTTTTAGATCTATATAAATGACCTGGACTTGGGTATAGGGAATACAATTTCCAAGTTTGCAGATGATATTAAGCTAGGAAGAGCAGTAAACAGTGAGGAAGATAGTAACAGACTGCAAACGGACATAGACAGACTGGTAAAATGGCAGAAATGTGTCAGATGAAGTTTAATCTGTAGAAATGCGCCGTGATGCATTTTGCGAGGAAGAATGAGGAGAGCCAATAGATTGTACAATCTTAGAATGGGTGAAGGAACAGAGAGACTTGGCGTTCATATAGGTAAATCTTTGAAGGTGGCAGGACAGGCAGATCAAGCTGTTAAAAAGGCATATGGGTTACTAGGCTTTATATATAGGGGCATAGAATACAAAAGTTGTGAAGTTATGATGAACCCTGATAAAACACTGATTAGACCTGATTAGAGTTCAGTTCTAGGCACCAGACTTTAGGAAGGATGTCAAGGTATTGGAGAGGGTGCAAAGGAGATTTACCAGGATGGTACCAGGAATCAGGGACTTCAGTTATCAGGAGAGGCTGGAGAAGCTTGGGTTATTCTCCTTGGAGCAGAGAAGGTTAAGAGGAAACTTAATAGAAGTTTTCAAATTTATGAGGGGTTTTGATAAGGTGAACAAGGAAGAAGTTCCCACTGGCGGATGGGTCGGTAACCCGGGGACATCGATTTAAAACAGCTGTTTAAAGAAACAGTAGGAGGGGAAGAGTTGTTCGGAGCCAGTTGTTTGGATTTGAAGGGGTGGTGGAAGCTGATTCGATAACAACTTTTAAGAGAGAAGTAGAAAATTATTTGAGGCGGAAAAGCTTACAGGGCTATGGGGAGAGACCGGAGGGAATGGCATTGGTTTAGATTGCTCTTTTCAAAGACACGATGACTTCCTTCTGCGCTGTAGAGTTCTATGATTTGAGACGGGGAAGAAATGCAGAGCAGACTCAGTCCATCTTGGAGTGCAAATAAGGTTGGCGAGCTGCAGGCTCGAATTGCCACTTGGGGTTATGATGTAGTGACAAAAACGGAGACTTGGCTTGAGCAAGGGAAGGAATTGGAGCTGAATCTTCCTGGCTATAATGTATTCAGGAAGGATAGCGACTGAACTAAATGAGTGGGGTGGTGGCAATAATGATTAAAGACACGGTTACAGCCCTGGAAAGGGACGATATGCCTAAGGGCCCAAAAACAGAATCTATTTGTTAGAGTCAAGGAGCTGAACAGGAGCCGTTACTCTATTTGGTGTATATTATAGACCACCAAATAATGGGAAGGAGATAGACGAGCAAATCTGCAAGCAGAGTTCAGAAAGATGCAAAACCAATAGAGTAATGCTAATGGGAAACTTAAATTGTCCTAACATAGACTGGCAAAATAACAGTTTAAAGGGCAAGAGGGGGAAGGATCCTGAAATGTGTGCGGGATCAAAGTTTGTGGATCAAAGTTTGTATGTTTCCAGCCCAACGAGGATGGAAGCAGTGCTGGATCTAGTTCTGGGGAATGAGTGGGGCAAGTGGAGCAGGTTTCAGTAGGAGAGCATCTGATCAGCGATCATGACATCATTAGGTTTAGAGTACTTATGGAGAGGGAAAAGCAGTAATCAATGGTGAAGATACTTCAACTGGAAGAGGGCTAATTTCAATGAGTTGAAAGGGACCCAGCCAAGGTAGACTGGAAAAAAATGATTGGTAAAACAACTAATGAGTAATGGGAAGCATTCATGGAAGAGATAGTTCGGGGACAGGACAAATATATTCCCACAAACGGGAAAGGTAGAGCATCCAAACCTCCCTGGATGATGAAGGAAGTCGGGATTAAAGTAAAACAGAAAAAGCAGGTTTATGAAAAATGTCAATTCCAAAATACAGGTAATCAAACAGAATTTAGAAATTACAGAGGATTGCTGAAAAAGGAAATAAGAGAGACCATGAGATTGCATTAGAAAAGATTAGTGGGTAACATAAAAGGGAACCCTAAGGTAGTTTATAAGCACATAAAAAATAAACGGTTAGTCAAAGATAGGGTGGGTCCAATTATGGACAAAAGAGGAAATCTTCTTGTGGAGGTAGAGGGTATGGCTGAGTACTTCGGATCAATCTTCACAAAAGAAGAGCATGCAGCCAATTCCATAGTATTGGAGGAGAGGGTAGAGATATTGGATAGGATAAGAATAAAGCGAGAGGAGGTACGAAAAGTGTTGTGAATGTGCTCAAGATAAGTTGCCTGGTCTGAATGGGATGCATGCTAGTTTACTGAGGGAAGCAAGGGTGGAAATAGCAGAGCCTCTGGCCACAATCGTTCAATCCTCCTTGGACACCGGGGTGGTGCCAGAGGACTAGAGCGTTGCAATTGTTACTCTCCTGTACAAAAAAGGGGAGAAGGATATACCCGGGAACAACAGGCCAGTCAGCCTAATGACAGTAGTGCGCAAACTTCTAGAGACTATAATCTGGGATAAAATACTTTTTCACTAAGAAAAATATGGGTTAATAAAGCACACGGATTTGTTGAAGGCAAATCCTGTCTAACAAACCTGAGTTGTTCGATGAAGTAAAGGAGAGTGTGGGTGAAGGTTGATGTCATTTATATGGATTTTCAAAAGGCGTTTGATAAAGTGCCACATAAGAGGCTTGTAAGCAAAATAGAAGCTCAAGGTATTAAAGGGACAGAGGCAGCAGGGATACGGAACTGTCTGGGACAGAAAGTAGAGAGTGGTGGCGAACGGTTGTTTCTCTGACTGGAGGGAAGTATACCATTTTGTCTCTTAGAGGTCAGTATTAAGACCACTGCTCTTTTTAATCTACATAAATGACCTGTACTTGGGTGAAGGGAGTGTGACCAAAAAGGTATAAAGAATCAGGGATTTCTTTGGTTATATCAGAGAAGAGAGAATGGAGTACTTCATCACAACCAATCTCGAAGAAAGAGGGATATATTACATTCAACAAGGATCAATGCACTTTAGCAAACTAATTCCAACATTAAAGCCACTATATTGATCTGATCAACCCATTGTAGTGAACTTCACTCACCTGTTGTAGCAATAATTTGATTTGATAAAATGTATAACTTTGATCTGCATTTATTTACTAATTTGTGTTAATAAATGTGAATTGATTAAATAATTTGTGTTGGTTACAAATGTAATTAACCATCATAGGACTGGACTATCAGGAGAGATTAGGTAACCTGGGCATGTTAACGCTGGAGAGTTGAGTGGAGATATGATTACGGTCTTTAAGATTCTGAAGGGACGAGATAATGTAGACCGTGATACGCTGTTTTATCTTGTACTGAATGGTAGAACTAGAGGACACAGACTGCGATTGGTAGGTGATGATGGTGGGGGGGTAAATTCCGAACAAATCGTGGAAGCACAACTTCAGCGCGCGGGTAAAAAACTTATGGAACAGGCTCCCTAGGGAAACGGTGGAAGCCGAATTTATGTTTGTTTCAAGAACAAATTGGATCGATTTCTGTTAGAAAATAATATCTCAGGATGAAATATATAGTTTGGCCCACCACATGTCAAGCTACCGCTAGGATGGTGGAAGGTGAACTGGATGGACCTTGGTCTTCTTACACTTAGCACATTCTTCTGATGTGATATTCCTAAATCTCCTCTCAATCCTCTCTGCTCTAAGGAGAATAATCCCAGCCTCTCTGTAGTCTCTCCAAATAACTGAAGTCTCTCATCCCTGGTATCATTCGTCTAAATCTCCACTGCACCCTCTCCGAGACCCTGGCATCCTTCCTAAAGTGTGGTGCCTAGAATTGGACACAATACTCCAGATGAGGCTCAACCAGCCATTTGTAAATGTTTAGCGTAACTTTTTTGATTTTGCACTCTATGCATCCATTTATAACGCCAAGGTTCTCATGCACTTTTATTCACATGTATTGCATTCATTCATTTATTCTGTCCACCAGGATTCTGATGTCCGTTGCCATGCTTCAGTGTATTGAAAATCAGACTAAGAGTTTCACATGTGTACGTAATTTTACAGATGAAATTGTTCCTATGTCTGGAAATGAGCGTTGTCTCCCTGGCACGATTTACCCTGTTTGCCTAATTTGGTTGATTTGGCGACAGCCAAAGATTTGGGACTTCAGAGTGTGTTTTGGGGGACTGCTGTGATTTAATCATCCCTGCATTTAATTTAACAAGCTCAAACCGAATTGCTTTGAGAGAACTGTCTGGGAAGCTTCCAGCTGTTTGCCCTCTGCAATCACTCTATATCAAGGGCTTTGGCTTAAATGGTGAAGTGAGAAAAGCTTCCTCCCTGAGTGATTCTCCAAGTCCTGCTGATGAGCCAAGTACTGGCTATTCTGTCATCAGCATTGACATGTTTTACTGTGGACCCAGGTCATTCAGTACTACTGATGGTGCTATGATATTAGTGGTTGAGATATTGGGTGGGGGGGGGGGTGGGATAGGTGTAATGCCAAGGCAGTGTGATATGGGGCGTGACCCACATTGTTCATACATAAACCCAACAATTTACATCTGTTCTCTGTCATTACTTCCAAATATTCTTAATCTTTGAGTTTCTATAATACATTAAACCATATGGCGTCTCGAGTTCCATCCCCAGTGTCTGAAGTATAGCATGCGGTGTGTCTATCTTCCCTCCCAATCTGTGTGTGTAATATACTGCATCGACTCTCTGGTTTCACTCCGAACCTATGAGTGGATTATTATACTGTGTGGAATTTTTGGCTTCACTTCCATTCTCTTCAAGACATAGCCTTTTCACAGTTAAACCAAGCTTTTTATTTACCAGTTAGAAGAAATAAACATCGACACTACACGACGATGGACTGATGGATATTAGCTCACAATTTTTTGGACCCTCATTTTCTTGTTAAAACTTTCTGTCGACTGAGAACTGGTTAGACATGTAGCTCTTTATTGGTTCATCAATTTTGGTCCTCAGACCCCTTAATAACCTGATTTCACAAATATGTACCTGGCAGGTCATCCTGTTGATCCCTCTGCCATCTTCTGGGGAAATCCACACTCCCTTCACCATCGCTGATTGCGATTAACTCCTATGCCAGCTTCATTGATAAGCTTCTACTCTCTTGTTCTGGAATCCTATCTGGAAAGAGGATTCGCTCTCGGTCTAATTGAGCCACAGTGATACATTGATATTCCAATATATTCTTATTCAAATTTCTATGTGTCTGTGTGTGGGTGTAATGTTGTGAAGACCAAAGAGAGCAGCACAGCTAAACATGGTTATGTGAGTGGCCCAGTAAGCGAGTGATGGGGTAAGAGAAGATGTATTTCAGCCGTTGCCTGAATTGTGTTTGGGTCACACCGTAGATGACTGTGTTGGTGCAGGAGCTCAGGAGCTGCAGCATGTAACCCACATGCTCAGCGATGGTGAAAGGGCTGTTGTAGTCAGACTGCAGGGGCTGAGTCTCTGTCACCATCGAATACATGAAAATGACCATAAAGGTGAGCCACAGTAACACGTAGCTGCCCGAGATGGTAAACAGCAGGATTATGGATTTCCGCCGGCTCTCCATTTCCTCATCCCTCCCCTTAGCAGACCCCCGGAGACCCTGCCGCACCCTGCTGGCCACCAGCACATGTCTGATGGTCAGGGTGTTGAAGAGGAGGATGAGGATGAAGGGAAGCAGTGGGTTTAAAATGATGTTCAACCAGCCAAAGACCCTCCAGGCGGGAAAGACATAAAAGCTGGGCTTGATGGTGCAGTACCAGGGCTGCCCATTGACTATCAACTGTGGTTGGTACACAAAATATACAGGGATATTCTCCACACATAAAAATGTACAGATTGCCCAGATCATCAGGCGCGCTGTCCACTCAGTGCAGTATTTGGTTTTGAGCTTCGTGCAGCAGATGGCAATGAAGCGGTCGAACGTGAAGGCCACGGTCAGCCAGACAGAGATATCAATGATGAAGAAGCGCAGGGTAAGGTTCAGGCTGCACACGGGGGTGTGGAACAAAGGCAAGTATGGCAGGTGGAGGAGAAATGTCCTCCTCAGGATCACACCAATGAATATGACCAGGAGGTCAGAAATGGCCATTGCGACCAGATAGCGGTTGACGCATTTGGAGAGTCCGCACATTCCCTGGGCCAGGATCACAATGGTCACCGCGATCGCTGCAGGAAAAACCACAAACATTTCACTGGCTCAGGTTCTATGAAGCGCCGGCTCATGCTTGATCACTCCTGGCAGCAAACTATAATCTTAATCCTTGCATTTGATATTGCGTCATTCAGAAGTCTCAAAGCACTTCACGGAATAATTAGTAAGCGAATTGACTGTGTTGTGTGGGTGAAACTCGGCAGCCAATTGCGCAGTGTCCCACAAACAGTCATGGATTGAGTGACCCAATTTATTTTTTTGGATTGATTATTACTCGCAGAAAGTGATCTGTCAATCAACTAACGTCCGGTTTCCAACTAATTGCTAGATAACCAGAGGCCTGTGGAGTAAGGAAACAGAGCTAAGGTTTTGCCCTGCCTGGGAATCAAACCAGATCCTCTAGCTTGTCAGGCGAGCGCTCCACACAATACACTACAGGACTCCTCCACTCAAACGGTTAGAATTGACTCCGTCCTTTGTCTTGTTGGACAAGTTCCAAAGACCAGTTGGCATTACTCTAAGGCACTGCTGATGAAAGACCAGTAAATTGGCGTAGTGACACGATTTGGAAAGACAGACTGCTCAGTGGGAGAAGAGATTCTAACTGGGCCTGTCGCCCAAAGCTAAGACTTGTTGAGCGGGAAGCTTGACAGACAGAGATCTCAATGACAACCGTTAATACTCCAGCAATTGGATTACACTCTGGAAACCGATTACACTCCCGCCGAAAGAAAATTCTGTGTCAAGGGAGAGGGCTTGCATCTCAATCCGGACGCTGAGAAATTTCCATGTGTAGGTAATAGCGTACATATGTGGAACTTTATCAGGTCTGGAAACACTTAAGCACATGAGGAGTTTTCACTGGAGTCAGATCAAAAAAAAGACTCGGTTTAAGAAGTTTAAACAGCCTTTCAGAACTTCTTCTTGAATAGGATCCTCGCGTTTCCAGAATCTACACACCACAGTCTTCCAGTTGCAGCGTCAAGCTGCTTCTTAAACATTCTTAAACATCTCATCTTGAACATTCATTCCTGTGGTGGTCCTATGTCCATTTCCGTTTAAAGAAATATTTTAGCCCCGAATTTGATCTTCATAGTCATGAACCTGCATCTCGCTGTGTCCTAAAACTATTGTTCCATGTTTACTTATCAATCCCAGATTGCGTACTCAGCAAAACTACAGAATAGCATATTTTAAATGTGTTTTGGTTTGTATCAAATCTTCTCTGAGACGTTTTATCAGTTTAAGAGTTTGAACTCATACAGTGGTTCCTGCTCTGTAGCCCTGCTCTCCTCCACATTGTACTATATTGTACAGTGGAGTCCTGTAGCTCAGTGGTTAGAGCACTCGCTTTACAAGTGAGAGACCTGAATTCACTTCCAGGCAGAGGGCGAAACCTTGGGCAAGTTTCCTTACTCCACACAGAGCCTAATAATAATCCCTCCAAAAACCAAAAACAATAATAAATTGGTCATTTTCAATCCACGACTGTTTGTGGGACATTGCTGTGCGCAATTGGCTGCCGCGTTCGCCCACAAATATACAGTCAATTCACTTTACAGTGTGTTCTGTGAAGCGCTTTGGGACGTCCTCCCGACGTGAAAAGCGCTATATCAAATGCAAGGATTATTATTATTATATTATTATTATTATTATTACCCTATTCATTGCTAATAATATCCTTATTAACAAGCTTCCTTTAGCTTTCGAGGTGCACTTGAGATTTTTGACGTTCACTTGAAATCTCAGCTGAACAATGGCAACATCACTCCCCCTTACATATGAAATATCTTCCAGCGTCACCGTAGATTGTGTGTTAAAATTCCCCAAATAGGGTTCGAACCCACACTAACCTGATTCAGGCTCCAGTGCTACCAACTGAGCCATGCAGACACACCTGTCTGATATTGGTCACAATGTCAGCAGACATGTCAGCAGATGGTAGTGAGGCGGTCGAAGGTAGAGGCCAGGGTCACCCAGACAGAGCTGTCGATGATGATGAAGTGCAGCACAAGGTGTAGCCGGGGGTGTGGAACATGGACAAGTGTGGCAGATGGAGAGAAAGTGTCTCCAAACAGGATCACATTAATGAACATGACCAGCAGCGGCCATTGCGACCGGCTAGCAGGTGATGAATTTGGAGGCTCCGGTCACTGCGGTCGCTGCAGGAAAGGCACAAACACAATCACACATTTCACTGGCGCTGGGAGTGTGAAACACAACGGCTCATGCGTCATCGCCCCTAACAGTGAACGGTTGGAATGGATTCCATCCTCGGTGGCTGTTTGCTTTATAATGATAATCACAAATAATCCTTGCATTTGATATAGCGCGTCATCACAGCTTCGAGATATCTCAAAGCGCTTCACAGAATATACCGCAAAGTGAATGAACTGTATATTTTGTAGGCGAAATGCAGCAGCCAACTGTTCACAGCAGCGTCCCACAAACATCGTGGATTGAAGTGAGCTATTTATTATTTTTTTTAAGGAATTATTATCCTCGGAAAAGCGATCCACCAAGCGACTAACAACCCGGTTCTTACTTGCTGTTAGGTCTGTGGATTAAGGAAACTTGACCAACATTTTACCCTATCAGAAACCAAACTCAGGTCTCTTGCATGCAAGGCGAGTGCTCTAACTAGTAAGCTACAGCACTCCACTATTATTATTATACGACTACTAATAATAATCCTTGCATTTGATTGAGATGTCTCAAAGCACATCCCAAGATATACTGTAAAGTTGACCGTGTATTTTGTTAGCAAAATGTTAGTCCGTACTCTAAGGAACTACCAACCTAATTCATCAATAAGACTTGGAGAGACAAGGAGATTCTAACTGGGCCTCTTAACCAGAGCCCAGACTAGTCGGGCGGAAAGTTTAACGGCCAGAAATCTCAGTGGCAACTGATACCATTCCAGCAACTAATCTCCCCTCCCAACGCAAAGTCTGAGATTCCCCTTTTTTGTATCTTGCTGAACCGCACCAAATATTCTATAGAATTAGATAAACAGGTCGTCAATGCCACGGGTTGGGTGGGTGGCAGGGCTGGGGGGGAGGGGGAGAGATAGCGAGAGAGAAAGAGAGAGAGAGAGAATTTCCATGTGTAGGTAGTGGCGAACATATATGCGCAACTCTAACTGGTTTAGATATTCTTAGCCATGTAATAATAATAATAATAATCCTTGCATTTGATATAGGGCTTTTCACGTCTTCTCGACGTCTCAAAGCGCTTCACAGAATAGACTGTAAAGTGAATTGACTGTATATTTGTGGGCGAAATGCGGCAGCCAATTGCGCACAGCAGTGTCCCACAAACAGTCGTGGACTGAAATGACCAATTTATTATTTTTTTTGAGGGATTATTATCAGGCGTGTGGAGTAAGGAAACTTGCCCAAGGATTCGTCCTGCCGGGAATTGAACCCAGGTCTCTCGTTTGCAAAGCAAGTGCTCTAACCGCTGAGCTACGGGACTCCACAATTGGTAATTGGTAATTGGTTTCCACTGTGTCAGATATCCAGCAGATCAAGAAACAGAGTCACTTGCAGAAGAGGGAATGCGAATAGCCTTTCAGACCTTCATCCTTGAATAAGATCCTCACGCTTCCAGAATCTTAGTCTATGTCCATCCTATCGCAGCATCAAACATGTTACAACACCTCAGCTTCCACTTTGCTTCCTGGTAGCCCTGTTGCCTAAGTTTCACCTCTGTTCAGAGAAATATTTTGTGCTGAAATTGAACAAGCACCTGGTGGCAGTTACATTTACAACATCCACTACCAAGTGCAAGATTTTATCTGAACATACTGCACATTATGTTAATGTTTACACATATATATCGCGAAAATAAACTGGTCATTTAAGCGTTTGCTAATTAACTAAGTAGTTTCCTCCTCAATTTGCCTGCACATTCTCCCTCCTCGTTGCCCCGAGCACACACTCGTGGCTCTGTTTGAAAAGTCATTCAAGACGGGACAGTCAATTAACAACAGTTCCCAGGTGCTGTTGGAGAATTTGTGGTCTTATGCAATTAGGGTTTAGTTTATTTCTTGCCTTCATCATAAATAAAAACAATATTCACAGTCAATCTCTCCTCCTGCATAAACATTCACAGTTTACGTCCTCTGTCACATTGCAATCCATAAGTGCTTCATTGCATCACATCCAAATTTACTGGCTCCCTTTCCCCAGCTGATCAAACCCTCCACGACCTTGCCTCATCCAACCCTATTTCCCCTGCCATTCTTTTCTTTTCCCTCCACCAAGTCTGGCTTACATCCTTGCACCGGGTTTCTTCATATTGTCTTTGCAGTGCAAACCTTCAGCTACTTTGTCTCTACTCTCTGGAATTCTATTGCAAACCACTTTGCGTTATCCCTCTCTGCTTTCCAATTCCATCTTGAGCTATTTGATCAAGCTTTTTGGGGTCTCCTTCCTTATTCCCATCTCTTCTCTCCCAGCTTGGATTCCCACTGAGCCTTTTCAAATCATTTGGGGATGTTTTCTTACTTTTAAAAGTGCTAAACAGGTCTGAATTGTTGTTGCTCTTTTGAAACTGCTCCTCAGAACTCAGAGAATTGTGACCAATTCCAACTATCAACCTAATCACACTTTACTGTACATTTTCCAACATAGAGATATTTTCCTGTAACAAGGAAATAAGAATAGTGTGATCGATTATGACAAAAGCAATAACAGATTACACTTATATAGCACCCTTCATGTCGGAAAGACATAAGAACATAAGAATTAGGAGCAGGAGTAGACCATTCGGCCCCTCGAGCCTGCCCCGCCATTCAATAAGGTCATGGCTGATCTATTCTAACTCCACCCGCCCGCCTTATCCCCATATCCCTTAAACCCTTTATCCACAGAAATCTATCAATCTCAGGCGTGAATATGTTCAAGCGAAGAAGTTTTTCCTCAACTCATTGCGAAAGGGCTTACCCCTAATTTTAAGACTGTGACCCCTGGTTATAGTTTCTCCAACCAGTGGAAAAAGTCTCCCACTATCTATTCTGTCGTGCCCCTTAA